CCCCAAAACCCCAAAACCCCAAAACCCCAAAACCCCGAAAGGTGAGATAAGGGTTGGTTTATGAATAAAATAATTTAAATATGCTGAAATTCTTGGCCCTGTTTGCGATCTTGGGAGCTATCAGTGCTCAGGAAGCCATCAAGACTACCATGACTAAGGAATATAAAGTACCTGAGAAGATACTTGATGGAGAAGGAAACTGGGTCGATAATCCTGATTTTGAGAATTTCACACACCTTCATGACGTTCATAATGAGCAAAATTTGATTTACTATGGAAATGTTTATTTTTGGAAGGACGGAAGTGATAAACCAGACATGCTCCAGGTGATCATGGATACAGGATCAAGCTGGTTATGGGCTCCTTCTTCTATTTGCAATGGGTGCCCCTCAGATGACTCTCTTGAACATTCTTATTTGATAAATAACGGGGAAGGCATTAAATCAATTACCTATGGCTCAGGATCAATTCATGGAGACATTGTCAGGGGTGTTGTTTCTCTCGAGAACTCAAAGAGTAGAGCTATCCACAACTATAAAATGCTCGAAGTCACTTCAGCAAACCTCCCAGGTCTTGAAGGATCAAACTGGGATGGAATCCTGGGACTTCTTCCAACAGGCATGTCAGGATCTGACTTATTTGTAACACAATTGTATAAAGAAGGACTTATCCCAGAAGATTCATTCGGTGTGAAATATACAGACACATCAGAAGGCTCTGAAATCACATTTGGAGGGTTTGATAAATCAATAGTAGAAGAACTTGATGATTTCACCTTCATTGATTTATTCGATGATATGCATTGGTCTGCTTCTCTGGAGCATGCCAAATATGGACCATACGGAAATCTTCCAACAGACGAAATCAAGTCTGCAATTCTTGATTCTGGTACATCCCTTATCCTAATGCCAACCTCCCTCTTCAAAGCCTTCCAAAAGACGATCCTCAAAGAGAAAAAGACTTGTGGCCTTTTAAGTGGTTATTTCGGATGCTATTGTCAAGACAAATATGATTTCCAACCTCTTTTCTTCAGACTTGAAAACTACGAATACAGAGTTTCTCAGGAAAATTACATCGTTGAAACTTGGAATAAAAGGAAGAAATTCTGTTATTTCCTAGTTCAAGGATCCGACTTCAAAAAGGGTTCCATGATCTTGGGAGACTCGTTCCTCAGAAACTACTATGTGTACCATGATGTTACGAACAAAAGAGTAGGACTCTATGGAGATTACATGATGTACTACAGAACTAAAGTATTCACTCCAGTTTTCTTGACAATTCTAGCAATAGCTGGAGGAACTCTTCTTTGTTGCATCTGCTGATTATATTACTGATGCATATGTAAAAAGAGTGATGACCAAGAAAAAGAACCGCTTATTAGCGATATTGAGCAAAAATCAGATGCCGATCCGTACGCTCCACAGATAGATGAGCCTGAAGATGTTGATCCTGATAAAGATAAGATTTTTGACCCTGTAGCTCCAGTCCCCACTAAGATTGATGACAATGCTAAAGGTAAAATTTATTTTTAACCTATAGATGACCCGGTCGCTCCAAAGAAGTTTATTAAAGCCAAGACTGTAGTTGAGAAAGACGAACAAAGCGACTTAGAAGAAGATGAAAATATCAAGAAGCAGATCACACTCAATATCAAAAAGAAGGACCTTGATGGAAAGCAAAAGAAAGATGAGCCTGAAGCTAATCCAGAAGAAGAATCTAAGAAACCTGATCAAGAAGAGCAGGTTAAAGAGGGAGAAGGAGACCAGAAGGAAGCTGAAGGCGAACAGAAAGAACAAGAAGACAAAAAAGAAGCAGATCAAAAAGAAGAAGCTGAAGGTGAAGAAAATAAACAAGACGAATAAAATACAGCCAACCAAATTTTGAGTGAATATTTAAAATAAAACTCAAATATCTTTCAAATTGGTTCTGTCAACGCGGGGTTTTGGGGTTTTGGGGTTTTGGGGTTTTGGGG